TGTAGTTTTAATGTAGGTTACACTGTTTTCACATCTATTTGCAACGCTTGTGCTATTCCTGGTATCAAATTAATAATCGAGATTCACCTTAGTTAACACATAAGCATATGGTTTTTAGATAATAACACAATAAAAATGAATATAGGTGAGGTGAGGTGAAATTGGGTTTAACGTCCTACTGGAGAATATTTCGCTCATATGACGACGTGCATGCGTGTGTATGTGCGGCTGCTTGTACTAGCCCAGACTAAAGCTGGTTTTATAGTGCTAGCCCACTGAGATACCATGCCGGTGTGAAGCATGAATACCCCACTCAGACACATTATACTGACTCCGAGCCGACCAGTCCTTGTTGTACCCATTAATGCCGAGCGCCAGGCAGGGACCAACAAGTACCATATTTTAACGTCTTTTGGTATGACGCGGTCAGGGATCGAACCTGCGACCTTGCGCTCCCCGGGCGGACGCTCTAACCACTACACCACGGAGGCGGTAAAAAATATGAAAAAATGAATATAAAATTAATCTTGAACCACTGACAACGTAATATGAACAACTAGAATACTATTATGTTACGATAAGGGTGCTCATATGAGAAATAGCAATGTTAAATCTACCTGTAAAATTCCATCGTACTATTTGTTAGTTGTAAGAAATGGGAATTCATACATCCCAAGCAAGATTTAATGTCTCAGGGCCTATGGTGTAAACACTAATGTTAAGCGTTGGTTTGTCACATATTTCCCAGTAGAACATGGCAGCATTTCGTTTTCATTTCATTTTGTTTTGCCAATGTAATCATGATACGAGGAAATGTGTCAGTCATTGTGTTCCTGGTGCAGATCGCTACACCACGAGGCCCCACTACCCCACATCTACATCGTCGCTCCCAAGCAAACATGAAACAAACGCATCAATGTTCTGAGCCCCTTCCACAAAGCGACAATGTTACATTTACAACTGCCGGCCGTGGGCATACGTAGGCAATTTATAATTGGATGTAATTCCATGTATTAGAGGCAAGAAGTAGACTTCAAACGTTGTCTATGTATAGTAAAGAAGTTGTCATCCACAATACCCCTGCTCATACCACAGTAGGCCATTGTTGCACCATGAGAGGTATATGCCAGTCTCGGAGCTGGGATCACTTTGTGGAACGGAAACCAGGTTCTGAAAAAATAAGTTCCTTGACTTGGGATTCCAGGGCAGAATGGGCCCCCTGTACCTTGCTTGAACTGTGTGGACACAATGGCCATTGAGTACCATATCGAGATACGTTGGGAAGCTTCCGGATGAGAACTTGGTGAATGGCTGGGTGATTGTCATGAGACCCGGGTGGAAGTCGAGAGCCTTGGGGACAGTCGTGAGACCAGGATGATAGTCGTGAGACCTGGCTGGTAGTCGTGAGACCAGGATGATAGTCGTGAGACCTGGCTGGTAGTCGTGAGACCAGGATGGTAGTCGTGAGACCAGGATGATAGTCGTGAGACCAGGATGATAGTCGTGAGACCAGGATGATAGTCGTGAGACCAGGATGATAGTCGTGAGACCAGGATGATAGTCGTGAGACCAGGATGATAGTCGTGAGACCAGGATGATAGTCGTGAGACCTGGTTGGTAGTCGTGAGACCTGGTTGGTAGTCGTGAGACCAGGATGATAGTCGTGAGACCTGGATGGTAGTCGTGAGACCTGGTTGGTAGTCGTGAGACCAGGATGATAGTCGTGAGACCAGGATGATAGTCCTGAGACCAGGATGATAGTCGTGAGACCTGGTTGGTAGTCGTGAGACCAGGATGATAGTCGTGAGACCAGGATGATTGTCGTGAGAGCCGGGTGATTGTCGTGACACCCGGGTGGTAATGGTGAGAGCTGTGTGCGATGGTCGTGAGAGCTGGGCGATAGCGGTGAGAGATCTGTGTGTGCGGTAGTGGTCTGTGCGGTAGTGGTGAGACCTGGGCGATAGTGGTGAGACCTGTGTGCGGTAGTGGTAGACCTGTGTGCGGTAGTGGTGAGATCTCTCTGTGCGATAGCGGTGAGACCTGGTGTGCGGTAGCGGTGAGACCTGTGTGCGGTAGTGGACCTGTGTGCGGTAGACCTGAGACCTGTGCGGTAGTGGTGAGACCTGTGTGCGGTAGTGGTGAGACCTAGTGGTGAGACCTGTGTGCGCGGTAGTGGTGAGACCTGTGTGCGGTAGTGGTGAGATCTGTGTGCGGTAGTGAGTGTGCGGTAGTGGTGAGACCTGTGTGCGGTAGGTAGTGAGTGTATTGGTGAGCCCCGTGTGCGGTAGTGGTGAGGACCTGTGTGCGGTAGTGGTGCGAGTGTAGTGGCGATAGGTAGCGGTGAGACCTGTGTGTGTGAGTAGTGGCGAAACCTGTGTGCGGTAGTGGCGAGACCTGTGTGCGGTAGTGGCGAGACCTGTGTGTGGTAGCGGCGAGAACGGTCTGCGGTAGCGGCGAGACCTGCCTGCGGTAGTAGCGAGAGCTGGGAGGTATAGCTATGGCCGGGCTGTATCGCTATCGATCACAGACATATCTGATCCACACGTTGATCGTTCTGCACTAATGCAAACAAAGGGTAAGAAGGTCGCTCGTTCGCCACCTTTCGGGCGTTACCATTTCACTCATGCCATAAGATGAAAGCATATCATTCCCTGGACACTCCATTTCATGTTTCAAACAAAATGAAACGCAAATAACACCGGGGATTTTGAAGTACTGAACAGGTATACAGTTCTGGTAAGCTAGTGAATGACGTCGGAATGTAATTCACCAGTTTCATCAAAGTTTTCGACAGGGAGAGAGTCCTCAATACAAACGCTTTCTGCGGCTGAAGTTGTTACGGACCACAGAGTAAGAAATGATGTGCAGGCTTTGTTAGTTTTTCTGAATGCTACCTACAACTCCATTCATCTGTGTGTCTTGAATGATTACTTTTTTATAAACTACTCTGATTTCACGTACAATTCTTGATTCACAGATATGTGACATTCGTCTTGCCTCAGTGACATGATTTTTGAATGTGCACGATGTGCCCAATTTCCCTGTCGCCAAACCAAGCTTAACCGAGCTTATGCTCACTTCATCGGCCTCTGGGTTTCTTCCTGCAAATTCAACACGTCACACTACATGGTTGTTTATCTATCGTCTTATATATGAGAATAATCAGTCTCCTCTATCTGCCCGCACCGAATCCAAAGGGAGAGTAGAAGTGACGGCTATAGGGATGGATCAGTACCAATCGCTGATAACACCAGGTGTCCCTGGTAATCATGTATAGGAATGGATCAGTACCAATCACTGATAACACCAGGTGTACCTGGTAATCATGTATAGGAATGGATCAGTACCAATCGCTGATAACACCAGGTGTCCCCAGGTGTCCCTGTAATCATGTATAGGAATGGATCAGTACCAATCACTGATAACACCAGGTGTCCCTGGTAATCATGTATAGGAGTTGATCAGTACCAATCACTGATAACACCAGGTGTCCCTGGTAATCATGTATAGGGATGGATCAGTACCAATCACTGATAACACCAGGTGTCCCTGGTAATCATCATAGGGATATCAGGAGTTGATCAAGGTACCAATCGCTGATAACATCACTGATAACAACCAGGTGTCCCTGGTAATCATGTATAGGGATGGATCAGTACCAATCGCTGATAACACCAGGTGTCCCTGGTAATCATGTATAGGGATGGATCAGTACCAATCACTGATAACACCAGGTGTCCCTGGTAATCATGTATAGGAGTTGATCAGTACCAATCACTGATAACACCAGGTGTCCCTGGTAATCATGTATAGGAGTTGATCAGTACCAATCACTGATAACACCAGGTGTCCCTGGTAATCATGTATAGGAGTTGATCAGTACCAATCACTGATAACACCAGGTGTCCCTGGTAATCATGTATAGGGATGGATCAGTACCAATCACTGATAACACCAGGTGTCCCTGGTAATCATGTATAGGAGAATGGATCAGTACCAATCACTGATAACACCAGGTGTCCTTGGTAATCATGGATCGAAGTACCAATCACTGATAACACCAGGTGTCCCTGGTAATCATGTATAGGAGTGGATCAGTACCAATCACTGATAACACCAGGTGTCCCTGGTAATCATGTATAGGAATGGATCAGTACCAATCACTGATAACACCAGGTGTTTCTGGTAATCATGTCCTGCCATCAACATTTTGCATAAAACTACGCGTTAACATACCATACGACGAGGACGGCCTGTCCACAGGCTTGACCAGACAAGCAAGTGATGGACCAGGCAATCCTGTGACTCAATAGAGCATTTGTGATTTAATGGAAACTAAAAACGTTTAATTTAAACCCACCCATAGTGGCTAGCTGGCGTTAAGCGTCGTAGAGTGCGGATTGTAATAAGATTAGATGCAAAGATGCAACAGCTTTCTTAAATTGTGTCAGCGATATTTGTCATCCAAGTGTTATCGGTGCGTGATTCAAATACTTCCTCCCTGAAACTGAATCTTGTAGTGGTGCTGTCGCTATAGGATGTGATACATTCCATGACAACACGGACATCTATATCGTACCCCATACCTACCCGAAACGTAATAGATGATAACGATCTACGTCGCTTACCGAAATGTAACGCGGGTCCTCAAATGACTCTTAAATAACAATTTTATCTGTTTTCTACAGCTATTTTAATCACATTCGGTATTACGCTCAACAAGAGGTTTGTCTCGAAGGTATAAAATGTCAGGTTTACTGAACACGTGACCCGTCGTTTTGTTTACAATACACACTGGAGAATTTGCCCTAGAAATTGCGGCTCAGGAATGCGAGGATATCCCGGCTCATACCACTGCATATGCTACAATTAACATTAATATCTACCCTTTATTGAAATGCTTAAGTGACTTCATTATCCCACTGAGCCACTCACTCAGAACGTACTTGGAAATGAATTTTGAGAAGTCAAAGCTTCTAAGCGAACTCGGGTTTCACTGCTTGGCTGACCATATTGTATGCAGGGTTGTGCGGCTGCCTTTCTACTGCCTTCAGTATCAACATTTCTTAACTATCAAGCTCCGTTGACTTAAGTATTAATTCACTTGGACGATCGCCCTGATTCCTTGAGACAAACTGTCCAGTACGGAACGTGTTTACAATTATGTCTGTGTTGAATCTCGGCTTTAACGCATTCGTTCCCAGGAAAAGGCTGTAACGTGCGTTATAGGACATCCCGCTGAGTGGAGTTCACTTTCGCAGGATGTCTACCTGTCGGTGAGACAGACCTCACTTTGAAGTTAAGGGCACTTTCGCTTGTGGTCAGCCGATGCGGAGTACTGTCCACTCACCAGGTATCACTGACCGTAGTGGTAGCAGTCAAGCTTCTATTTTATATTCATCCTCCAGTGTTATTTGACCGTGACCCTGGCTGGCAGAGTCCCACTTGACGCATAAATCACGTCCCGACGCTCGGTCCAACGCTAGCGAGCTTGCGGGCTTATCTGCCATACTTATGTATTGTATATGAATCGCGTCGCGGGGCCTGTCGCCCAGTGGGGATACGAGAGCCACGCGGACATCAGGTACTTTGACATCACCATCTTCTCCATCCACCTGGCAGTCACTGACACTGGATTGTACAGGGCTACATAAGGAGACCAACACACGTGAGTGGCTTCAGTCTGATGTAATGCCTATCTATTGTATTGTTATTTACTGATTGGGACAACTTGGAATCGATGACAGGAAATTCACACAAACTGCTATTATTTTCACTGGTGTCAAGTTATTATCACGCAATGAATGGGAAGTCATAGTTTTAGCTGTGTGCATGTACCTCTGTGTCGCAGAAGGGATTTTCATTTGATAAACATGACAAGGATTTGGAACTAAAAAATCTAATTTCTCTCGTGATCAGAAATACTATTGTCGACGACGTTGACATTTCCTCTTCAAGTGTTCCACACTGATCACCAAGGCTTAATGGCAGGAATAAAATTGTTCTTTCTTGTTGATACTGCCCTGCCATCTAAACCTTTGACTTGGCTACAGTGTGAGTGAATATTCTGACCATCCAGCGTCAGGTAATTGTGTAAGGGCTCACTCATAGCATTTGTACAAGATAAAGTTAGAGAACATAGCGCAGTGTAACATTCGTATTCCTTTAGAGATGGATATGTCGTACTTTCGGCCTGAGCTGAAAACTAATTTTTTTGTCCAGTCGAATAAGTGTTACATCAAATGGAATCTGTTTCTGAGGATAGTCAAGACTGGGTATTTTTAGCACTGACGTTTTTATAGTGTGTAATCCGGTAATACATGCTTCATATATTTAGCACGTATATAATCATTATGGAACAGTATAATACTGTCAGCCCACATGTACGTTAGTGTAATACCTGCACGTCCAAGGAGACACGGCTTGTGACAATGCAATACCCCATTACAAACTGTAAACATACATGAATAGCGTTTTTCGTCGATGGATACTATAGCAAGGCAAACATAACGAGTCAATAAAACTGCTGGAAATGATGTCTGATATTCACGTATATAGCAGCCATCAGTCCCTAATCGTGTACATTACAGAATGATTTTCAGAGTTTATGTTGCGCGCTATGAAACCATTCACCCTTAACGTACGTGTTATCTTTAGATCCCGTCATATATAGTTTAATAGCATTATGTGTACCTCCACTCCGGCATGTAACATTCTCAACTGGAGTTAAAGTGTCTCAAACATTCTCCGCTCCAACTGTACAGTGTCTGTAACATTCTGCGCTTCAGCTATACAATGTCTGTAACCTTCTGCGCTTCAGCTATACAATGTCTGTAACCTTCTGCGCTTCAGCTATACAATGTCTGTAACCTTCTGCGCTTCAGCTATACAATGTCTGTAACCTTCTGCGCTTCAGCTATACAATGTCTGTAACCTTCTGCGCTCCAGCTATACAATGTCTGTAACCTTCTGCTCTTCAGCTATACAATGTCTGTAACCTGCGCTTCAGCTATACAATGTCTGTAACCTGCGCTCCAGCTATACAATGTCTGTAACCTTCTGCGCTTCAGTACACGACAGTATCCTTCTGCGCTTCAGCTATACAATGTCAGTAACCTTCTGCGCTTCAGCAGTACAGTGTCAGTAACCTTCTGCGCTTCTGCTGTAGTGTCAGTAACATTCTGCGCTTCAGCTGTACAGTGTCAGTAACATTCTGCGCTTCTGCAGTACAGTGTCAGTAACATTCTGCGCTTCTGCTGTACAGTGTCAGTAACATTCTGCGCTTCGCTGCAGTGTGTACAGTGTCAGTAACATTCTGCGCTTCTGCTGTACAGTGTCAGTAACATTCTGCGCTTCTGCTGTACAGTGTCAGTAACATTCTGCGCTTCTGCTGTACAGTGTCAGTAACATTCTGCGCTTCTGCTGTACAGTGTCAGTAACATTCTGCGCTTCTGCTGTACAGTGTCAGTAACATTCTGCGCTTCTGCTGTACAGTGTCAGTAACATTCTGCGCTTCAGCAGTACAGTGTCAGTAACATTCTGCGCTTCAGCAGTACAGTGTCAGTAACATTCTGCGCTTCTGCAGTACAGTGTCAGTAACATTCTGCGCTTCAGCAGTACAGTGTCAGTAACATTCTGCGCTTCAGCAGTACAGTGTCTGTAACATTCTGCGCTTCAGCAGTACAGTGTCAGTAACATTCTGCGCTTCTGCTGTACAGTGTCAGTAACCTTCTGCGCTTCAGCAGCAGTAGTGTCAGTAACATTCTGCGCTTCAGCAGTACAGTGTAACATTCTTCACTCCACCTATACAGGAGTAATATTCTGCGCTTCAGCTGTATGTCTGTAACATTCCATGCTCCAGCTGTACAGACTTTGTAACATTCTGTGCCTTAGTTACACAGTATCTGTAACATTCCTCGTTCCGACTGTATAGTGTCTGTAACATTCGTAAGTATCATAAGTATTTGTAAACTCCCCTGCTCAGCCGTAAGTTGATATTCAGCGTGTTTGTTATACATGTAGTTACATATACCATCTGTTGAAACACATGCAGTTATTTGAGTAATAGCTTTTAGTCAAATCTTCATCGCCCGCATTACTTGAATAGTTTCAACACTCGAGTAAACAAAACAATTCTTTTGTACATCCGTATCTGATGAAGACGGTTGTTAACACGACATAACTATCTCGTCATCACCATAGTTTCAGTATCAAAACATTCCACTGACCGTGGTTGGTGATGCAGAAATAAAATGTAGGTGACATACCCACGATTTGAGGCCAGACACAAAACGCCTGATGTATTCATACCTATAATGAAATGGAGAATTCCTCTCTATTATCAGATTATGAAGTGATAGAGCGATTGTGATATCTTTATTAAATATGGAAATGTGACAAACGTATTACTCATATGGGTAGATGTACACGCCAGCTGGTGTACTCAGATGGCATAGAATCTGGTATACCGACACGGGTAGACATTCTCCCCAGCTAGTATACCGACACGGGTAGGCATTCTATACCGACACGGGTAGACATTCTCCGCAGCTTCTATACCGACACGGGTAGACATTCTCCCAGCTTATACCGACACGGGTAGGCATTCTCCCCAGCTTCTATACCGACACGGGTAGGCATTCTCCGCAGCTTGTATACCGACACGGGTGACATTCCCCAGCTTGTATACCGACACGGGTAGGCATTCTCCGCAGCTTCTATACCGACACGGGTAGACATTCTCCCCAGCTTCTATACCGACACGGGTAGACATTCATCTCAGCTTGTATACCGACACGGGTAGACATTCTCCCCAGCTTCTATACCGACACGGGTAGACATTCTCCGCAGCTTCTATACCGACACGGGTAGACATTCTCCCAGCTTCTATACCGACACGGGTAGACATTCTCCCAGCTTCTATACCGACACGGGTAGACATTCTCCCCAGCTTCTATACCGACACGGGTAGACATTCTCCCCAGCTTCTATACCGACACGGGTGGACATTCTCCCAGCTTCTATACCGACACGGGTGGACATTCTCCCCAGCATTCTCCGACCCTAGCTTCTATACCGACACGGGTAGACATTCATCCCAGCTTGTATACCGACACGGGTAGACACAGCTTCTATACCGACACGGGTAGGCATTCTCCCCAGCTTCTATACCGACACGGGTAGACATTCTCCGCAGCTTCTATACCGACACGGGTAGACATTCTCCCCAGCTTCTATACCGACACGGGTAGACATTCTCCCCAGCTTCTATACCGACACGGGTAGGCATTCTCCCCAGCTTCTATACCGAAACGGGTAGACATTCATCCCAGCTAGTATACCGACACGGGTAGACATTCTCCCCAGCTTGTATACACACACGGGTAGACATTATCCGCAGCTTCTATACTGACATTGGTAGACATTCACCCTATCTGGTATACTCACATGGGTAGACATTCATCCCAGCTTGTATACTGACACAGCTGGACTTTAACTGACACTAGTATACTGACACGGATAGACATACTTTCCAGCTCGCATTCACACTGGTAGCGATTCACCCAAGATTAGTGTACTCTCATTGGTACACATATATCCTAGCTAGTGTATTCACTTTGGCAGGCTTTCTTGGTTCTATATCTAGACGGGTAGGAATACACTTTAGATATAGTGTACTTATATGTGTATACTTTTAATTTCAATTGCTTAATTGCATGGTGTATAATCTGGTGAACAACAAGCAGATCCTCGTGGACGGGGTACACCAAGTAGGCCACAACACTGTTGTACACATCTTCACTCAGTCTTACATCCAATAAATCATATCTTAATCCACCTCAAGTATAGAATGATGTAGCAAGTCAACGTTTAAGCTTTGTTGCGAGATCCATTTGGATTTCATTAAAATATTAATGTGTACTTGGAGATATATATTTGGAAATAGGGTATTATGTTTATTTGTGAGTCTAAATGTTGGTCCCGACAGAGATGCTTCCGATTAATACATAGATAACGATCTGTGGGTGACTTCCTGGACATAGCCTACAGCTAGTGTCATAGAAGGCACGGCAAGGTCAGTTTGTATCGAAGTCAATGGAAGTGGGTACTTATCTGTTTCTCCATATCCAGGTGTTGTTTAACGTTCTTATGTGACTAATACTAACTATCAAGTCCTTGCTGAGAGCTTACAAATCCAGGTGGGAATCTCCACTGAATCGTGTCTGATAGTAAACGACTGGGTAATTATTTAAGGTCGACAGATACCATGTCTAAGCCTGGATTTAACTGTGAGAATTATAAATACTGACAAGCCACACCCTGAGTTTCAATTCCACGTAGGTATAGTAAAAGAGGTCCGCGTTATCGCAACTTTGGGACTTAGTTTACAACTCTATGGTTCAAGGGCAATATAGTTAGCCACGGCAAAGGTTAACGGGATAGGTCTTGGGTAGTTTAACGATGCACTGACCACATGTACGTCACCTGATATCCTTTGTGCAGAACACACGCGAATTGGTTTCGTTTTATTATAGTATCTAATCGCATGTCTTGCTGTATCGGATGACGTCCCCCCACGGGTTAGGGCGATGGAATAGCCTAATGGTTAAAGCACCCGCTCGTCCCGCCGAAGACCCGGGTTCGATTTCCTACATGGGTACAATGTGT